CATGGCTATCCAGAGTGGTGGGAGGGTCTCAAGGCTCGTAAACTTGCTGTTGGAGGAATGGGTCGTGCTGCCCTTGTCACCATGGACTCTCCGGTAACATTAATTCCTCATGAAGAATCTACCTCAGCACCAGAAAAGAACTCTCCATCTTTTAGTGACTCAGGTAACTTTCATACATCATATACAAGTGACCTAATTGATTCTGGCGCAACCGATCATATGACATTTGATCCTGATGATTTTCTGAGTACCAGTCAACCCAGACGAACTAGTATTGCTAATGCCAATGGAGTTACTTCTCCTGTGACAGGGGCTGGCACTGTGGCTCTCTCATCCTCTCTTTCATTATCTAATACTTTACTTGTTCCATCTCTATCAATTAAGCTAATGTCAGTTAGTCAGATTACTGAACAACTAAATTGTTGTGTACTCATGTATCCCGACTTCTGTTTATTTCAGGATATTCTCACCAAGGAGATCATTGGTCGTGGTACTAAGAGAGGGGGGTTGTACTATGTGGATGATTTCAGTATAGGAAAGGCACATAGTGTGAAGCACTCATCGACTTGGAAGGATCGACAACTTTGGCTATGGCACCGACGTTTGGGGCATCCGTCTTTTGGCTATATGAGACATCTATTTCCAGATTTGTTTTCAAATTCCTGTACCACTGATTTCCAATGTGATACTTGTATCTTGGCCAAGAGCCACAGAGCCTCTTATCCATTAAGTACAAATAAAAGTGTTGCTCCATTTGCTTTGATACATTCTGATGTTTGGGGTCCTTTACCTATCTCTACAACTTCTGGCTTCCGGTGATTTATTACCTTTGTGGATGATTGTACCCACATGACTTGGCTCTTCATGATGAAAAATAAAACTGATGTGTTCCCTATATTTCAGTCATTTCACAAGCAAATTGAAACTCAATTCTCTACCAAGATTCAAGTCATTCGTTCTGACAATGGAGGTGAATATATCAACCATGATTTTCAGACCTACTTCCAAATGCATGGCATCATCCATGAGTCCACTTGTCCTCAAACTCCTCAACAGAATGGTGTTGCGGAAAGAAAAAATCGACACCTCCTTGAAACAACACGAGCTCTTTTGATTAGAGCTCATGTTCCTCGCCACCATTGGGATGATGCTACAGTCACTGCGGTCTACCTCATCAACCGAATGCCTTCCAAAGTTTTAGACTTCCGGACTCCATTACAAGCACTTGCCCAACATGGGCCCTTGCCCTCTGTTCAGATGCTTCCGCCCCGAGTCTTTGGTTGTGTGGCATTCGTACACCTCCATAAGAATCAACGTGGCAAGCTTGATCCATGTGCTATCAGATGTGTTTTTGTAGGCTATGCTGCCCATCAGAAGGGATATCGATGCTATCACCCCTCCAGTCGTCGTACATATGTCACTTTGGATGTTACTTTTATGGAGTCGGAAATGTTTTTTCATGATCCGATGTCCAACTCTCTGCCTCACAGAGACATACAAAGAGAACCACTGGGCAAGGAGGCCCTGGAAATTCAAGAACTTGAAGATTGGAGCAAAACGGATCCCAAAAGTCCAGAAGAAAATGTAACCTGCCCAAAAGCGACCGGTCGCCTGGAG